TTCCCTGCAGATGTATTCTTTGCTTACTGGTCTTGATAAAAGAAAAACCCACCTGAGTCTTTTCTCAAATAAGCCTTTTCTAAGACTCAGTTCTTAGGCGTCCCCCCTTTCCTGCCCCCCCCCCCCCAACACTTCTTTAATTACAGCTCTCTGTACAGAGTGCCTGAGATAAGCAGGCGGATGAACGTTTTAAGAAAGCAGAAGCAGGTGTGAAAGTAAATTGGCCAGCTCCTCTGGTTTTTACTTTGATTTTTCCCGAGTCTGTCAAATGAAAAAAAACCTCTTAATTCCTGCATTTAGACATTTTCACATATGAGATTTTTTTCTTTTCTTCTCAGCAAAGCCCTTGTTATCTGCTTTCATGAATTTGTTTTTATCTCGGCCTTAAGTGTAGGAATTTACACTGTGAGCGGTTTGCATGGGGCAGCAAGACCACTTCTGCAGGAACAATTTCTGTTGCTGTCAAGGGCGACAGCTGACCCAGAGACAGACTGGAGGTGAGCGTGGGTGAGGAACTACGTGTTGGAAACACAGCTACCGCAGGGACTTCACCGCGGCGGAGATGTCGAGGTAGGGACCTGCGGCACCTTTGCCCACCTGAGACCGCTGGCCAGGCAGCCCCATCTGGCAAGGTGATTCTTCAGCCTGCAGGAGAGGTGATTAAGGGAGAAATCAGTGGAGATCTAGAAAATCCTTAGTGACCTAGAGAAGGTAAATGGGGATTGATTGTTCACTGTCTCTTCCAAAAAAAGAACTAAGGACTTAAATTACATTAGCGCTGACGATAGACTGAAAACAATCAGAAAGAGGTACTTTGTGCGCTGTGTAGCATGCCCCGCTGCCAGGAGAGTCTGTGGGTACTAAAGGTTTACATGGGTTCAAATGAGAGGGGATAAAACCTATAAAAGATGAACTGACTGAGGCAGAGGCACCACCTATCAGGGAATCCCTCAGGTGAAATTACCAGAAGGCGTGAGAGCGTTCTGGGGAAACATCAGCCAGTATCAGCCAATATATTCAGCCAACCTTATACTCCTTCCTGGGCATCTGCTATTGGTGACCGTTGGAGAGAGATACTAGGGGACGTGGATCATCGTTCTGACCCCATCCACCTGCTCTTGTGGATGAATAAATGCTCAGCCCTGTCAAAACAGGGCTTGTATCAACAGCAGTCAGCTCAAACACGTTTCTGCTCTCTGCTCCGGTGTGATTACAGCCGCCACGAGAAGGGAATAAGAGGACACTAACTGGCTTGTGCAAAGGACATCACTGACCTGTCTTAGAGAGAGCTATGTGTGCTGAGTTTGCTAGTTGAGAGCTGGGGCAAGGCTGTGACAGGAGCATCCTCAGGGCCTGGGATAGGGCAAAGGGTTGAGATGCTTCTGTTTTCCTACGGGTGGGGTGTGAGGAAGGAGTTAAAAACAACTGAATGAAACAAAACAATAAAACCTTCTCGAAGCAATGGCTGCAGTGGGGTATATCTGCAGAGAGCGCAAATTGTTCTTGCGCAGGTTTCCTGCCTTGCCGAAGCTAGAGGTTTTTTTCCTATCTGCCACCCAGAGGGGAAATCTGGGATGGGAAAACACTCAGCAAAATACAGAACCAGAGAAGTGCCATGAACACAAAAGCCCAGCAGGCTCTTTGGCCTTGGCGTGAGGCCAGCTTGCCCCTATTCTGCCTGACCAGTGAGGCACATGTGTTTGAAAGGGGGAGTTAGTTATGAATAGCTACGAATAGCGTGGGGCTGTTTGGTCTCTCTGGATTCATGCTGGTCCTCTGCTCCTTTACTGCACTTTCTCCCCGGTTCAGGCAGGCAGGGCATAAGAGCAAATGCTGCTACTCAGCCAGAGGCCTGAGTTTGTGCCTGAGAGGGGCGAAAAGAAATACAGAGCTTGCATCTGAATAGAAATATTGTTGAAGATGAAACAGCCTGGTTCAGAGGATGCTGAAGCATCAGTTCGTGAAGGGGGACATCCCCAGAAACAGGGTGATGGGACAGGAAGAAAAGGGTTGTAAAGTTTTTATATAACTACAAGTTGGCAACTTGGCTTCCAAGGGGCGGAGGGGGTAATGAGAGCTAGCACCCAGCTTTGATTTGTACAAACGCTCCCTGTGTTTGGAGTGGTAGAGCCAAGCCCCGATCGTCAGCTTCTCTCCCAAAAGGCCTCAGCCCTTTCTGGGTTTCCCAGTTTTGGAGTTTTGCAGCTTCTCTCAGATTTGTTAGTTGTAGGAAGCTTGATTATTTATCCTGGTATTTCTTCGAAAACAAAGTTGCTGAGGTTTTTCCTGCTTCCCTGCTAGGAAGGAGCAGGGAGAACACAGCTGCTATATGCGATTGGGCCTTCTCTTGTGCTCCTATATAGTCAGCAGGGCATTGCCTGTTTAGGACCCACATGTGCTACATCCCTCACCAGCAAAGCCTGGAAGAGTGAGCTCTTGTGTGCTTCTCAGCTCTGGGAATGAGATAGGAAATGCTGTAGGCCAGCCATCAACAGACCATGGATCAGACTCTTCTGCTGCAAATGATTTTCAAGTTGGTACCAATTCACAGCAGCCAAAGTGCTGGTGGAAAAATTCACCTTTGCCTTGTTTTGGGCAAGCGTTGTTGCCGTTTCTGTTGATGGGTCATGCTCTGTAAAGCTCTTGTGAACTGGTGGTGCTTATTGCTGGCAAAATGGCAAGCAGAGCATTCCTTGCGATAGCCTCTGAGAAGGGTTTGCATGAGCTGGCAGCCAGTTCTCATGTGGCCTTCGCATATCTGTAGAAATCAACTCCAAGAAATCAGATCACTTGGTTGGCTACTTTCCTTTTATGCTTTTACAGACTTGGCTGTCATAGCGGAGAGCAAAATCAGACATTTTAAACCAGGACCAGGCTTTTTTGTCCTGTACGCTGATAGCTCTGAGTTTCCTTCTGGCTGGAACGCATGGGAACCCAGGTCCCACACCGGGGACGTAACGTGCAAGAGTCTGTACGAACACAGGACAAAAAATGCTGCTGCCTAGAGCATTTGCAATACATGTATGAATCAGCAGGTGATAGATGGTTAACAACAAAAGGGTGAACATTCAGGAGTAGCCTCAGGCTGCATAAACATCATCAACTTTTTTTTTTTTATTGTGTCAAAAGACTGTTTTTAAGGAAGAACTGGCATTGGACAGTGTTCTCCATTCCACATATGGGAGGATCTGCCTGTGGTCCAGGCAGGGAGGGGGATTCACTATCCCCGGCACTGTCCCGAGTGAGAATGAGCTTCCCTTTGTGTCTCGGAAGAGATGTCCCATCCGCCAGCATCCTCCTGCCCCTCTGCACTAACGAAGGGGGCAGGGGGCCTCTGGGAACCGGGTCAGCAGCAGCTCCAGCGCAGTGCAACTTAATTAAGAGAGGGAAAATGAGCGAGAGGGAAGGAACCCTGCACGGCCGGCAGGAAAAGCAGCTGTGTTTGAACAAGCAGATAAAGCCGCTTTTCCACCTGCCCTGGTGAGCCGCCTCTTGATGTTCCCCGTAGGCTGGAAGGCGCAATCCCTGCTGCCAAGGCCAGCCCTGCAAGCTGCTCTACTACCCAACTCTCTCTTTGTAACATGAACTAGCTTACGTTTCCTTTCTGCAAAGCACACTTTGGCTGTCTCTAACATTCCTCGTATAGCCAACAGTCCAGCTTTTAGACCCTGCAAACCTCTTGCAAGAAACCACTTGCTGCGCTGGTGTGGTCCTGCATGGCTTGGGTCCCCTTTTCCTTGGCTTCGTTAACATGACTATATTTAAAGCCTGTCAGCAAGCAAAAATCTAGGGCTATGTTGAACCCAGAACAAGGGAGAACCTTTGCTTTCGGACCAGGAATGAGATAACCCACAAACTTCTCTCCCAAAGAGCTTTGGGTCAGGGTGGCTTGAACGTAAAGCCTGATGACATGTCTGGACCCAGATCAGACTTTCCTGCTAGCACAGGGTCTGTCAAAACTGCTGCCTTCATGCAGACACATTGCTTTCTCAAACTAATTTTCATTCACTCAGTTCTGTGTGTCTCAAGTAATACAAGTGTGTTCCTCCTATCCCAAGCAGGGTCGCAGGGAGACTTGGAGTAATGTAGTATTGGGAGCATCAGTGCTGGAGGCAGAAACACTTGGAAATTATCCTCTGTTACTGCCCCTCCGTTCACTGTGCAAGAGCCACCCCGACCTCTGATTTGTGTTGACTAATTAGCTGAGTAATGCAATCTCGTCTCGAATGCTCTTCCTGTTCTAGATCAGGAATGAGCCATGCATTGATTAAATGACGTACTCATGGTTACACAGTGAGTCACTGGCAGAGGCAAGAATTAACACCTGGCATCTTTACATTCGTGCTTGCTCGATCTCACAGCCTCTTATTTTTAGTACTCTTCTTTTTCCTCTCTTGGCCTTTTTGCCTCTTACCTACTGCAGGATTTGTGTGACTTCCAGGGTGACGGTATGTGACTTGTGACCACTGCCAAGAAAATGAGACATCTGTCCTCTACTACAGATATCAACACAAAGAAACTGAAGTTCCTTTTATTTCTTATCTTGTTGGAATATTTTACCGTGTTCTGCCTGATCTGGTGAGATGCCAGGTCTCCTCCACTCCCATGCTTTCCGCATTGCACATGTATTGCTATTTTCTGTTTTTCTAGAAACATCCTTGCCGCAGTCTCGCTGAAGTGGGAACGCTCTGCCCGTACCCACCATCGATACAGTCGCATAATCACTGGCAAAAAATCAGCCGGGGGTTTTTTCTAAATCCCAGTTCAGTCTTCAGCAAGGTATAGCATCTGTTGTGATCAATATTTTAAAGCAAGTCTGTTTGATTAAAAAGTTACAGTAAAGCCTTTAGCTTCCCACTGAATAGCTAAATAATTCACGGGAGTGGCTCTAATCACTTTAAGCTTCTCGCATGTGAGAGTAAGCGGAAAATTCACAGTAATTCTGTAGCGAGGCAGCATAGCCAGCTGGATCATGTTTCTTACAAGCTGCTGTACGCGGAATGAGGTAGTTTCAGGTTTTTAATGGTTTCTGAGGTATGCTGGAGCCAAATCTGGAAAAAATGCTTTCTTTTATCACTCATTTTCTACTGATATTCTTTATGCTAACGTGACAGGTTTGTGCTAGCAGTCAGTGCAGAAAATATACTCTTTTATTTTTTTAAAAAATGAGTATAAATGGAACTATGTGTGTGCATCGTCAGATGCCCCAAAGATGAAGGCAAAGAACCATTACGGTAGTGTCAGGAAAAAGGAGGATATTTGTGTAAAACCCTCAGACGTTTTAACATTTCCAAAGCAGCGCCAGGATAAATAACGTGTCGTAAATCCGCTGTGGCAGCAGCACCGGTGTGGAAGCGGGCAGCCGTCGCGCTGTTCCCCTCCGTACCGCAGCTCAGCCGCTGGCCCAGCACGAGTTTCTTGTCCGGGCCAGAAATGGGGGGTTTGGACGGAGCTTCGGCTGGAAAAACGTTTTAGGGTCGGGAGAAGGGGAAAGCCCAGAGGCGCGGCCGGCTGCGCGGAGCCGCTCGCCGGGCCCC